ACTGATGGACAGACGCACGGACGGGCAAAGAAAGTGGCTGAAATAGTGCATCCAACTTCGTTGGAAAATGCCCTAAAAACTGTGCTTAAGGGAAGATAAAATGCAATCCGCAATTTAATTTCTACTAAAATTAGAGACAAGGTACAAAAACTATGATTTAATTTCAACATGTTTTTGCACTTTCGCTTAAGAGTCTTCTGTACCCACTGCACCCAATGTAAATTTCCATAAGAGCGCCCGCCATAAAAACTCTATTTGTTTTTCCAAAAACAATTTTTTTTAAGAACTATTTTATAAATTTAGACCTTTATCTACAAAATGTTCGGACTATTTTTTTTTTAAAGTTTATAGCAACTGAATACAGATTGTTTAAAAATTAGATGTTTCGCACCGATTATTGCGCTAATCTGTTTTATTTTTTTACTCTCGATCAAGACGATTTATGGAAAAAGTAAACCGACAGTTTTTTAGATAAGTTACTTCTAAATGTGACCCCAAAAAATGAAATCATAATTTTTGTAAATAAAGTCTGTATCTTGGCGGGCGTTAAATCAACAATTTGAGCGTAACAAGTGGCGCCGCTGCACAGTCCCGGTGGGAACTAACTAAGGACCAAGACAGGAGTTGACAAAGCAAGAATATAATCTTATTTCTTGCAGCTATAATCATCTATACACTATAATGTAAAAAAGTTGCGCTTAGGTAAAGAAGACTCTTAAGGAGATGGAATCTACTCAAATAACTAAAAAATACCGGTTTTAAGACAATAAAAATTAAAATCCAGGATTTGACTGTAACTCTTAGATTAAAAGGAGAATACAAGGATTCGTTTTAGAAATAATATGTTGATGTACTCCCGCTTAAAGAGCAAAATCTCCTCAGAGTAAGATTCCATTAACTGATCAGTATTTTCCGAAAGGTCCTGTAAAGTAAGAAGTTGACATTGCGCACGTCTGATTTTTGACAATATACGATATGCTTATCTTTACTAGAAGTAGCTTTGGTTAAAATTTCAAAAAACTATCTATAAACATGCGTAATTTGCGCGCAATAATCGTCAAGATATCTCCTTGGTTGCGGTGCCCCAGCTATAAGCTACCGAATACAAAAAGAACGAACTAAAAATCTTGAAAATTGTAGGAGTAGATAAGTGCTCGGACAGATGGACGGAGAAAATGCCACCTTCCAAAATGAGTTGGAAAATACCCTAAAAGCCATGTTTAAAGGAACCTAAAACTGAATCCGCAGTATAAAATTTACCACAATAAAATCGAAAGGAAAGTACAAAAACACCCACTTAACGGTAAGGGGTGAAATCTTCTCGGAAAACCTAAAGACCTGTTTTTAGAAAGGTAAAGTGCAAATCACAATTTAATCGGGTCCGTTAACTTGGCCCCCCCCCCCACTGAGAGATTTCATAGTACTATTATTTTGAAATGAATGCGCTCGTTATGCGCTCCTATGCGCCACCGATAATAAACCTTGCGCCATTATCGTTTTTTAGAAATCCGAAAAAACATTTGGGGGGGGGGGGCCAAGTGGAACGTAGCCCCCCCAGTACGTATTTTGTCCCTTGTAACTAGGTCACCTGATACATTTGGTTATGCGCTCAATTGCGCCACTTGAATTAAAGCTAGCGCCATTACGGTTAAGCCATAAAAAAATTTTAAAAAGTGGAGGGTCTAACTTAGCGTTTTCAAAAGTTATTTCCGGAAGTGCGTCCATTTTGAAAATATTTTACATCGATTCGGCCTTCGCGCATGATGAAAGATACGATGTAGTAGAAAAAAACATGTTAAAAAACGTAACTTTTAAAAACGTTAAGTTGGCCCCCCCACTTTTTGAAAATTTGTCACGGCTTAACCGTAATGGCGCTAGCTTTAATTCAAGTGGCGCAATTGAGCGCATAACCAAATGTATCAGGTGACCTAGTTACAAGGGACAAAATACGTACTGGGGTGGGGGCTACGTTCACTTGGCCCCCCCAAATGTTTTTTTCGGATTTCTAAAAAACGATAATGGCGCAAGAGTTATTATCGGTGGCGCATAGGAGCGCATAACGAGCGCATTCATTTCAAAATAATACGACTATGAAATCTCTCAGTGGGGGGGCCAAGTTAACGGACCCAATTTAATCATTACTCAAATGAGAGGGAAGTTACAATAACTCAACATTTTGTTGCACTTTCACTGAAGGGGGTGAAATCTCTCCCGAAAACTAAAGCGTGCTTAAAGCAAAGCGTTATAAATATACATAATTACTGCTGTTTTAAGGGTCCACACCTGCCCCTATAAATTTTGATTTGGGCTTCTATTCGCACATGAAAATGATTTAATAGTTGCCAACTAATGCACAACATTTAAATGTAATCTGTGAACACTTCTCGAAACATTTGTTACTCGTGCAACCAGATAAGCGAAGCACTATTCGCCCCCCTGCCCCTCTTATAAGAATTAAAAGGAAAGTAAGTGTAAGATACGCATTTACTATAACATTGCACTTTCACATAAGGGGATGGAACCGCAAGTTAAAACAAGTTTAAAAGTCCTTGTGCAATCACTATCACTTAAGGGGATGAAATCTGCTCTAAATGCTACAAAACCGTTTTGAAGGGAGAAAAAATGCAAACCATGATTTAACTATTCACTACGCATTTTACGATACCTATGGAAGATATTACAGGTAGTCAATTTAAAACTATTCCCCATGATCGCACACGAGACGTTACCATTTACAATATTTTAGGGGTGACGTACGATGCGCGCACGGGGGTTATTTTTCGTCTCCCGATTACCTCAGGGTGTACCTTGAAAATGTTACATTTTCCTACTGCCCCATTTTAAATTGACACACGGTATCAATTGCGCTACCCTGCCGAGAAATGAAACCCACCCTCATTTTAGAGTAAAACCAGTTTCTATTTTTAGAAATGGTCTTTCGTTAGATCCAATGCCGAGCGAGTACCTAATTTTGGAAAATTTTCGTTTACATCCATTAGGATTACTCATTCTTTTTCTTTAAGATTATTATGATTAATAACTTTCCAAACATATGGTCAAGACTGTATTTAAACGTAGAAATAAAAGTACATACGTGATGAAGTTCAGTTAAAACGATATAAAAGGGTAAAGCCTTACCTTTAAACCCGCTACGTAGTTGCAACTTCTGGAACAAAAAGCGAATTAGCAAAAAAGTATGGAAATATGCCTTTCAAACTCGTAATATGAGTAATATAAGAAGATGCTAACGCGTATTTTTAAAGCAAGTCGAGAGTATCACTGCAGATTTCAAAAACCCACCCATTTTGGAACCAGATTTGAAAAACTTACCCATTTTCGAGGGCCTCGAGAAGAAAAACCAAGGATTGTTTATGCACCGCACAAACACACACGCACCGAGATCACGCGTTACAATACAACTAATTAAGACGCACCTGTTACTGTCCGACAAGATAACGAAACATCTGGCGATAAGGAAAGCGTCTTGTTTATTACAAATAGAAGAACGACGTCGTTTATTCGAGTTAAACAAGGAAAGATGAATTATGTTCCCCTACCTCGATTCTTTACCTAATTTTGCAACTCTTTCCTTCCCATTTTTCTAGCGTTTCGTATTCTTTGCTACATTCCGAAAGGGAAATAGTTATTTATGTATCCAAGGGCATGCAACCCTTACAAAATTCGAAAGGAAAGTAGGTACAAGTTATCACCTTTTTCTTAAGGGGATGAAATCTATCCCGAAATTTAAAGAAAATGTCTGTAAACAGTGCAAAAAATGCACATTTAGCAATTATATTCTCTTTTACTCCCACTTAAGATCATAAATTCTACACTGTTTGCTAAAAAAACAGCTAAAGGGAAGGTAAATCCACGATTTAGGTTTTACTAAAATGGCTCCTTATTAACGAGCTCCTAGCGAGTTTATAATTTTGCGATGTCTGTCCGTCAGTCCGTCCGTTATCACGATAACTCATAAACGAATGGACCGATTACGATGAAATTTTTCAGGTGGATTCTTTATCAAATTTGTAGAGCGGAGTTCGTGAATTGGTAATGTAGCCCAAAAAATAAGGAAAGCCCTTTTGACATCTCCGTGAGTTATGATCCGAATTGCATCAAATTCGATATGCGTATAGCTTTAGCCATATAAAACGCAATTGCAAAAATTGGACCCAATCAATCAACATTCACAGTGCCCTTCGCATCACGATCATTTACAAACCGGATAGCAAACTTTCTTATTTATGAAGGTATTTAAATAAAATTCGATACATAGCCACTTGGAATAAAACCAAATTTAACGCCAGTTTCCAAATTTCGTTTTGCGCATGCGCAGTGCCAACTTTCTTATTTATGCAAGCAATTAAATGAAATTTCATGCATATCCACTTTAAATAAAAGCAAAACTAACATCAGGTTTAAAATTTGGTTTTGCACATGCTATAGCCATACCCAGGAGCTCGTTTTCTATATTTGTTTAGTTTATTAACTAATCTCATTGTGTTGCACTAGCACCTAAGAGAATAAAATCTCCGACACCAAACACAAGTTTAAATGAAGACAAAATAGAATCGGTGCTTTAATTTTACATTAAAAAGAGGCCTTGTACTTCCGCCTAGATGGTACATTCACTTTGAGCACTAGTGTAAATCGTATTCTTAAACCGTAATTAATCAATAAGAATCAATAATTCGAAGGGTTTCACACTGGCAAAAGCGAACTTTAGCTTAAAGTATGTTCTGGAGCTTTCAGTGCTTCAATCATATCTTTCAAGCTTTGAAATAGTATGTTACGTTATAAGGTTGTAAAATTACGTATTACAGGTGAGTAGAAAAATTTTAATTCTGCACATTACAACCGAAGTACCTACCATGTTTGGAAATGAAAATAGGACAAAACTCAAAATGACGTCTGTTGACAGTTTTTACATTTGTAGATGATTATCATTTCCAAACGTACATGATCGATTCCAATTTTTTTCATTACGCACGGGTGTGGGTAATGGGGACTAATATCATAGCTCTAAATTATATACGTTATTATGACCTTATCTTCAGGGGGATCGTAGGAAAAGCACTTATTGCAACGGCATTTTTCTTTTAAGCCCCACGGTTGCGTGTCATTATGCAATTGTGACGCGTTTCGTTGAATGCGACATGTTCCAACGAAAATTTTCATATTCAGCAATAAAAAACAGTATGGTAAGGATTTAATCAAAGTTTCTCCATTGAGTTACGATAAAGTGCACTTTTCCGATTTCCACGCGCACACGGAAGCCAGAAACCTTCTTCAAAATCGTCAAAATTCCGTTCTAGACACTGGAAGGAATTCTTCTTTGGAAAAACGCACACGACGCTTCCTCGTTTATGCTTCCTCAAGTGAATCTGAATATCAAACGCAATACTCCAATTCACTATTTTATCCAAGCACTCGCACTGCCAAGGATTCGCGTCCATCCCAAACACTTCCAAGTTGGGCCGCATCGTCTCCAACATCATGTCAGATATAAACGTTACATTATTATTATCAATAAAAACCTGGACTAATTTCGATGGGACGTGGAAGTTAATCTCAAAGCTTTTCATTCTGTTGCCACTCAAGTTTACCGTGTCAATATCTCTTAAACCCATAAATGCGTCTTTGTCAATGAACTCGATTTGGTTTCCTGCGACACGAAGATAGGTGATGCTTGGTAAATTGATGAATGCGCCCCTAGGAATTCTGCGTAGATAATTGTACGACAACTCCAAGACGGTAAGCGCCGGTGTTTTGTAAAACCAAGCTTGGTTAAAGTTTTCCAAGCGGTTGCCATCGAGATTGACGCGAGCCAGCAACGGAAGATTGGAAAAAGCGCCCCGCGACAGGTCGCTAATTTTATTATTCCTCAACAGCACGGAAGTTAACATCGGTAAATCTTTAAACACATTTTCAGTAAGCCAACTAATTTCGTTGTCAGCTAAGTAGACCTTGGAAAGTGTGGGAAGATTGAAAAACGCACCTTCTCTTACGATTTCGATGCTATTGTTGCTAAAGTCGATGAACGATAGGTTTAATAGGTTTTGCACTGCACCATCGTTTAAGTCTTGTATATTTTGATTTCTCGCCGATATTTTGAAAATAACATCCGTCAGCACGTCAGGTGAAATACAATCACTTATATTAAACGTACTTGCACGGTTTACTTCTAATAAGTTGCCATGGAAGGTAGGCGTAGGGCATTGAGCTGAAAATGTCAGCAGCAGTGTTGCTAAGAGTGTCTTAATCATGACGATGGGCTTCCACAGCTAACACAAATGATGGAAGTGTGTCAATGTTTAATAACCAATTCGTTTAGTGAATAGGTCAGAGGTGAGGTGAAAGGGTCTCAAATCTTGTGATAAGGAACGTATTTTTTTAGCGACTACCAAAGTATGTCGAAATATGACCTTCGGATATCTACGAAAATAATTTGGGATTTCAGAAAACCGGTATCCTTGTAATTTTAGTACCAAATTCCAAAGAATGGGTGGGTTGAGGTGAATCTTAACAGAAATACGAAAACCATTGTTTGATAGTAATTTCTTTACTTATATTTTTAGTTATTTTAAAGAAGCAAAAGAATGAGAAATTAATGATTTGTTTTTGAATTTACAGTGGTCGGTAATTAAAAAAATTATGCAGGATGATGAAGAGGAATTCGATTGCATTCCAAGCATTTGGATCATTTCGCCATCTGCAGTTTGCCAAAAATTGTACACACCCAGAAGATGACTGGTTGACTATAAAAATTACAATTGTCAAGGAACATTATGGTGAGTTCTACTAGAAAATAATGCTCATTCTATAAATAATATTCATGGATGTAGATATCTAGCTACTTTCCTTTTTATAACTGATTATGGCAGAGGTTTCGAATTTATATTTTAATTATCTTGATTTAAGTGCAATTATTTTTTACACTGATACTACTATACATCCTTAAAGTGTGTGATGTTTTTTTGTACTATGTTTAAATAATTTCATGCTCTTGCTAATTAAAGGGGTCAGTTCTGTTAGATTTTTAGCGCATTTTTGAAAAAAATACGCTATTATATTCGTTATGGCTGGCAGGCCGGCTGTCCGCGTGACATCTCAACAACTACAATAGCTAGAGAATTCAAATTTTCACTAAAAGCTTTCTGCTATAGTGTAGATGTGCAGGCACGAGTCTATTTTGAGTTAGATTACTTGTGAGTTCGATAATTGAAGAAAATAATTTCGATATGGGTTTCGGAGGTGCTATAATTTAACCGTTAGATAGCGCTACCAGTATAAAAACGCATTATTTACTTTGTGATTTATTTAATAAAGACGTATCCTCAATTGAAACTAAATCAAATTAATTATTTAACGCAGCCAAAATTACTCGTGAGATCGATAATTTTAAACTTCGCTACTAAAATACTGACCTGCATTACCAAAAATGCGCTTTAATCATGCATATGCTGATTTACAACTTGTTTTTATTATGGCCCGGCAGTTTGTCTTTGAATGAACGTGTACTAAACAATACCGAATTGATACCTTATAACCGCAAATTTATCACAAACTTTGTAAAATTAAGTTTGATTACATTTCAGCATCTTTTGAACGAGGTATGACGGACGTCATCAGATTTCAAAAAGGTGCACGATCGATCAGTGCTTCTGAAACGGAAGAAAGGGGTACTGGCCGTAGAGTTCTGCGCACGAAGAGGCGATCATCATCGTCAGCAGAGAGTGAGGGCACTGAGAGGTCAAATCCGCCCCCCACCAAAATAGCAAGAAATTCACCTAGGAAATCTCCTAGAAATCAAGGCTTTAAAAGAAACCTACTTATACAACCTACCTACCCTTCAGTGACACCTCATTCTTTGGCACCCTCCACCTCAACAGCACCCTCAACATCAATAAGGGCATTACCATCAGCACCATATAAAAGTGTGTGTGATATTTAAAAAAAATCACACTTTTGTGTATCGGATGAACCAGTGACTCTGGAAACATTGGCGCTTGGAGTTTGCCACTTATCGAGTAAGTCTTAAAAACGAATGAATACAATAAAAATTAATTTTTTTATTTTTAGAATCTGTACAACAGTTGAGTGGCAGGCTGAAAGAATTCCGTATGGAAATTGAAAGCAAAGTTTTAGAAAAGGACAAGACCCAGCAAAATTTGGAGGAAACAGAAGAGGGAGAATGTGTATTTCAATCACCACTAAAAAAGAAAGAAGATTTAAGAGTCTTTGAAGAGAAGCTCAAAGAAAAGGAATTTTTGGGAAATATTGTATGTATATATTACAATTAATGATCATTTTATTACTCCTTCAACATGTTCACTGTACAAAGTTTAGTGTTGAATATTTCTTATGTAACTTAATTGTGAACATGCTGGAACCACTAAATGTAGTTATTCGTGGAGTCTCAGAATGGATTTGCTCCACCTGAAAACTTTGATCGCCCTTCATTACAAAACTTGTGTTTGTTTTTCTTTCGCGGTTCTCAAGTTATCAGGGGATTGAATCATTATTGTGACATTTCATAAACACATTCAACAGAACTAACAACTAATGTTTTTTAAAACAGCTAAAAGTTTTGTCGCAAAACGACGTAATGGACAATTCTTTGGCGCAAAAATTTAGCTGGAAGGGTCAACAAAGAAAGGACCAAGTGGAGAGCAAAGAATGTTTTTCGAAGCTCCTCATGTGTGATCTCATATACAGTAAGTTTTTTTTTATTTTTTACAACGTACCATTGTTAAAAGTGACAATCAAGTGTTAATTGCCATTCCTTTTTCAGAGTGTGTAAAAGTTATTTGGCCAAAAGAAAACAATTTAAAGAAAAAAATAGAAGCCACGTTGTCCACCTTTCTTGCACAACAAGGATCCTTATATTTAAAAAGGTAATTATATTTAATTTAAATATTAAAATTCTTGTAGTACTTTATGTATTTTATAACTTCTTGGTTTAATGTGGTGAGAATTTCTTTTCATTCAACATACATATCAACAAAACTGTTGTACCCAAACTTTTAGAAGATTTACTTGAAAGTTTTCTCTCTTGTGTTGTAATTGTAAAAATTGGTAGATTGTAATTTTATGAGCAGTAAACCTAATCAAGATTCTTGCTAAGTGTAGAAAGTGAAACACAATAATAACCGAATATTTGATTTATAGAACTAAATAGTTTTCTCTTGTTGTTAGGTCAAGCATTACAATGGAGCCTAGCAAAGAAGACATTGAATTAGAATAAGGAGAATGCATGTATTATTTTTATTTTGTTGTTATATTTTATCAATTAGTATTAGTATTTTGTATGTATTTATTTCATATTTTTAAGCAATTAATACCTATATTTTTAATATTTTGTACATATTTTGTAAATATTTTAGATGTATTTTGTTTATATTTGATTATAAAATAATATTTACTTTTTTCTTATTTAATAAATGTTTTAAATATGTTTTGAATCTATTTAATATCTTTTTTATATGAGAAAAATATAATATTAATAGAACAAAAAGGATTACTCAGAATGTATTAAATATATACTTTATACATTTTTAACAATATATGCAATATCTATTAAATATATTATGTGTGCTACTTGGGCTACCGGCTACTCCGAATTAGGTTTTCCTGCAGTTTTCCTAATTCGTAGTAGTATAGAACCACTTAAGACCTTCTGCAGGGGCACCTCTAAAAAGCAATATGAGGGTCACTCTGTAATTGGGCGTAAGCCTGTTGAGTGCCTAGAACAAGAGCGACAATAAATACGCCACTGGCAATCCGCACTGAAAAGGCTCAACGGCTCAGATTATTCCCTTGAGTGTCATAAAACTTTATGAGACCTACCTTTGTGGCTAATTATGCCAGGTTGGAGCTAAAACGCTGAAAAAAAATCAAAAATGTATGGAAATCAGCTAGTTAGCGTTTGAATGGGCAGGCTGTTCCTACTCCTATCGGCTATGGGCCCCAGTGGTCGATCCTAAACATTCTAAATTTTTTTTCACAATCATGGAGCTTAGTAGAATCGGAAAAAAATGATCCAGTCGCGGATCGTGTCAAAAATCTCTAGTAAAATTACGTATGTATGTTAGCGGACACCCGGTATGGATGATGTCATGTTCTGCAGGACGGCCGAGTGTGGATCCTACGGGGAACGACGCACAGGCGGAGGACGGTGGCGGTAACAGCATAAGAGGCTGCGGAGGTCGGCACGGCACTGAACACAGTACACAGCACAGTGAGCAATCGAGTAACGGAGAAATGCGTTGTATTAAAGCGAATAAAAGTTGAGTCAGGAAACCTTGCGTTTTATTAAGGGTATTTCACCCCGAAACGTTAACATCAGAAGTGGGATGATCCTGTGCATCCTGTGGTTAATCAAAGTAAAAACAATATAAGACTTAGGTGAAAATGGCTGACAAAGAAAGTGATAATCGTGACGTTCCCGTAAAAGAACAGAGTAGGTTACAGGATTCGGAGAAGAAGTGTTACCGAGTCCAAAACGTGCAAGGGTGCAGTGGCAAGAGACATTAATAAATTTGTTAGCTACCCAGCAACAACAGCTTGACGAACTGACGCGAGTTCCGTCGGAATTGGTGGTGCGTTGCTTCAGAAAGAAAATGGTGGTGTTCAACCTGTGGCTTATTATAGTCGTAGAACTACTGATTACGAGTCTAGGTACCATTCCTATGACTTAGAAACATTGGCTATAGTGGAAGCAGTCGAACATTTTCGCGTGTACCTGTATACGGTGTCCATTTTACGGTGTATACAGACTGTAATTCGGTGCGAGCAACAGATTTACATCCACGCGTAGCGCGCTGGTGGATTAAGTTACAAGATTACGATTTTACGATCGAATACCTATCGACCCGGATGTAAAATGTCTCATGTGGACTATTTAAGCCGTAACCCTGTCGATAGTGAGTATAATGAGCGTGTTTTGAAAACCATAAACATCAATAAAATGTCAGACATAAAAACACTAAAGGAATTTCAAAACAATGACGCGTTTTGTCAAGAAATATTTAATAATCCGGATAGTAACCCAAACTTCAAAATAATAAACAATGTGGTTGTTACCAAAACAGCAGCTCCAAAGTGTTTTGTACCCGTAACCCGTCGCTGCTCGTTTATTGACAATGAAATTATACCACGATGAATCATCTCATATAGGGTGGGACAAATGCATCGCAAAAATGAGAGAAGATTTATTTTGGACAAAAATGGGACAATGTTTGAAAAAGTATATTAGGAATTGTAGCGCATGTGTCATGGGGAAATCACACACCGGTCGTCGCCAAGGATTATGGCAACAGGGTGAGAAGCCAGACGACATACTGGATACATGGCACATTGATCACGCAGGACCCTTAGTAAGATCTAATGGCTGCACACAGATTTTGGTGATAATTGATGGATTTTCGAAACTTTGTCAATTACAACCGATACCAAAGAAAACATCTGAGCATACAATTCGAGCATTATTACCTGTATTTGAAGAATTAGGAAGACCCAGACGGATCGTGGCCGATAGGGCAGCAGCCTTCACGTCAGTTATGTTTAAAAACTTTCTTGGCGAACAGGGTATTCAACTTCATCACATTGCAACGGGTGTGCCGCGCGGAAATGGACAAGTTGAGCGTGTCATGCGAACCGTTTTTAATTTGTTGCGGGCAACACTCACTGCGGATAAGGAAAGTACTTGGACGGTTGAGATACCTGCGATAGAGGATAATTTATAGACCCAGACAAGGCCGTCGCCGAAGCTCGAGTTCGAATGAAAAAGAGTGCATATAAGCGAGCCCAGCAATTTAACGTGACGCGCTATTGCACTAACTTATTCAATGTGGGAGACATCGTGGCCATTGAAGACTCTCAGCTGGCCGGTGGAGGAAAATTGAAGCCAAAATACAAGGGGCCGTATACCATCCGTAATGTATTGCCAAATGAGAGGTATGTGCTGCAAAAGAGAGGTCGCACCACAGTTGCTGCCCAGGAGCAGTTGAGACGTTGGCCTTCCAGGGACTAGAAAACAAAGCAAAGGTATTTGTAAAATTTCAATATGTTTTGTAAACAGTGTTGTATCTGAAAAATAGAATTTTACAAGCATTTGAATCTCGATTTGAATAGAGTATTTGGATAGCGGGAGTACCGTTATCTAAGAAGGAGAGAGTATCTCCTTGCAGCATTAAATTGTTAATACCTCCTTGCGTGTATCATGCGGGGAGAGGATACGGATAGTGGGAGTACCACTGTCTAAGAAGAAGAGAGTATCTTCTTGTAAAAGTGTATGAAAGGAGAGAGTATCTCCTTGCAAAATAAAAATGTGAAGTTGCGTGATATGAATGTGTGCATTAAACTAATGTTCAAGTGGGAGTACCACTAACACATTATTTACAAAATAATTGCGAGCTGAGCGTTTGTCGTTTGTTTAAGGTCAGCATGTCAATAAATTTAAATGTCTTTGAGACAGGTCAGTTTTAGCGATAAAAATGTTTGTATAAACGAAAAGCGACACCAGAATTTTTTCTGGCAACAAAATAACGCCGAAATGAGTTACGATCGTCCCTGTCGTCAGTTTTTGTTACAGTGCCTCGTTCGACCGAGGTCGGCCGAAATACAGGATGGCCGTGTTAGCGGACACCCGGTATGGATGATGTCATCCGGTATGGATGATGTCATGTTCTGCAGGACGGCCGAGTGTGGACCCTACGGGGAACGACGCACAGGCGGAGGACGGTGGCGGTAACAGCATAAGAGGCTGCGGAGGTCGGCACTGAACACAGTACACAGCACAGTGAGCAATCGAGTAACGGAGAAATGCGTTGTATTAAAGCGAATAAAAGTTGAGTCAGGAAACCTTGCGTTTTATTAAGGGTATTTCACCCCGGAACGTTAACATGTATACCTACAGTATAAGAAATTGTACTTGTTAAGGTTTGGAAACCTCTTCCTTCCCCTATCAATATCTATTAGGAGCCTATTCTCTATCGCATAACGATGTTGTTACATAGCGAATATCGTTCGGCAACGACTTTCTCTATTCTGTATGACATATAACATATGACAGTGATACGGCATATATCTGTCGTTCAAGATCAAATCGTTACCATTACGATATCGTTTGTTAACGACTATGTACAGAATAGACCCCTTAGTTGTGTGTGTGTGTGTTTTTTTATCCTCTGCAAAACTAAGCTCATTTCGTTTTTAGTTTGGTCTAAGGTTACGGAATCTGAATCTTCTTTGTTATGCCAAATAAAATAGTGAATCGCTGTCACATTTTATTATTACGATGTCAAAACAAGCTTTTCAAGAAAAGGTCACATTAAATGTTGGGGCATTCCCACGTATGTTAACATACAAAAGTTTTCCAGTTTATTAGCAAAATTAATCTTTGAGTGAACGTAAAATAACGACGCATCTTTGTATTTTCAGACACGCCTGAATTTTTTACGGCGAAAAGTTGCTCGTCTTACTAATTACCTACCAACATTTTTATTTGCTTTGTGAGAGTAAGTGAAAATATAAAAGTTTTCCGAATATACAGGTCACGACCTCTGTCTCAAGTGTTCACGAGCTTTAGGGAAAAGTCTAAAACTTTTCGTTTATCTACCCCTCTCAGACCTGGTAGGTAGAAACATTCGAATTACGCGGGTTTAATCCCAAGTAACAACGTATTTGAAAAGCATCGGAAACGTGTGTTACCAGCTAATATTAATACACATCACGTTGGTATCGATTAGTATGCCGGCCACGGGCGAAATTGAATCCCGAGTTTTGCGATAAATAAATAAGCACCGTGGAGCTCTTCCAAAAATTTCCTACTAATTCCTAACGTATGGCGGGTAAAAAAATATCTCGCTTTCAATTATAGATCAGCGCTGTAGTTAATTTCGATCGGATTTACACCGCGTTGCTAATGCATAATTCAAAAAGTTCGAACAAGAAGGAATATTAAATATTACCAACGAAACGGATGACGTAACCCGATATCTAATTAGGTTTTCGGTATGAACCTACACCTGGGGAAAGTTGCTTTTAACACGCAATACTCATTTTGAAATTTTAATTTTAAAACTTTGAGCGGGACTAATAAGTAAACTTTGTCGAGTTGTTTCTTCGTAATTTGTCAAAAACAATATTGTGATGACTTCTACTAATATTGATCTTTCATTGCAAATATCCGCGTTCATTATAATTTGAAAATCCAGTGGAAACTGAGCTTTCAGTTTTAAGGGATGAATTTGAGACTTCGCATTTTAATTCATCAGATGTGGATTTAGTACTTAAGGTAACCTTTCACCTTTCTTGTCTCAGTCAGATAACAGAACGAACACCACTGACGACATTCTTCCGTTGCTGACTTACTGTTTCCCCTTGCTACTCATATTGCATCTTCGCTTCCGTCTCCCTAGTTCTTACTATATGATTTATGGTGTCGGCGATGTCATACCAGCTTTGCTTCTCTTTTAGTACGAGGTTAATTATATTGTCCTTTGTAAATTCCTCTCCAATTCTGAGGTGTACCCATAATCTCTTATACCAGCTTTCACATTCCAGGACTGATTGGCCTCCCCAATCTCTCTCCCTGCACTCCTGCTTCGCTTGGTGACTATGGAGATACACGCTGTTTACCCCATTCCCGGTTAGAAACTCTACCGAATGATATATTCAATTCAGTCAACGCCCATTCTCCCTATTCTAAATTTAAACTTACAACAAATAATACGTCTACAAGCTTCAATATACATTATATACAGCTAATTACAAAATTTCATTCCTTCACGCTCAGGTCAAAAAGCATTATATGTAATTGCAAATATTTACATCCATTACAGTACCCCCTATTTGGGGGACTTTATATTAAAAAAAATAAGTATAACGTATTCCGAAAAAAGGTTTCAGCGTGAAATTTTGAATCTCCTTGAACTTTTAAGAATAAGATGTAATGATTGAAGTTAAAGCTCATAATTTCCACACAGTCCCCTATCGATCATCACTTCATCCATGGTGCTTAGTTTTCCTATGAACAACAGTTTTTAAATAAACTGATCTGATTACTAGAATTGTGTCGTTACCAAGCATGCCTTTTACACTTGGAAATGCCCCACAAGCTTCCATCAACTCATCCACGGGAGGCCTTGATTAAATTAACCTAATTTTCTTAATCAATAGACACCCCCTCCTTTGACAACATATAAACCGGGGTGTAAATCGTTTTATACAAAACATCCCCTTTTAAGTTCCGAAATTGTGTACTATTCCCATCGCCCCAAATTGCTGTTAATAAAATCAAGAAAAATGCGATATTTCTTTCGTACCCTTGCGATTTGCAATGAAAGTGAGACGTTATTGCATCAACCCTCTGTCCACACAACAAGACAAACAAGGTCAATAAATGTAGGCCGGCAACCTCAAGCGCGAGATGCGAGTGTATCAAATACGCCCTAATATACACTTACTCCGGCTTTATTGTGCGGCACATAAAGGGCGAGAACCATAAATTTGAGTTTGCCATAACAGGTGAATGACATCACGAGGAGTGTAGCACACAGTTAGTTTTACTTCCGTTTTGTATACCTTAAATTTATGAGATTCTTTTAGTGGCAGTTTTGTAAAAGGGTAACGAAATTGGTATATAAAGCCAGATTCGCAAATTTCTTTCCAAGTTCTCCCTGCAACCTTCCAAGCGGCGCATAAAGCTCGTAATTTGTCCGCGGAAGTTCCTTTAAAAGCTTGAATAAGAAATCAGTCTTCATATAAAGTATGCAACCACCGAATCCACCAAGGAGGTAAATTGATCAAACAAACACTAATAACAATGCACTTTGTTGAGGGTAAACGTGCCAGAAATTATTCTGAAAAACTTAGGTCCTGTGCATCTACCCCTAATCCGCAATCAATATCATACTCGCAGGCCCAAATAATTACGGAGATCCCCTCTATTGCGTTACCTTAAGTTGTTTAAATTTGTTTAACTTGCTTCGCGATTAAAATGTTTTCCAGGCATTATGTAGAGACTTGCGGCTTTAATAACTTCGATAAACTTATTTAATTAGCTTAATTAATATACAAAATTATATTTGCACCAGATGGTTTTCGAGCATGTATCGTAGACACAACAGTAAAAAGTCTTTTGTTGAGGATTCCACAAAAGTTTCTATTGTTTAATTATGCTTATTTCGAGATTATTAAATATATTTACTTAGTGATATTCATTAAAAGTAGACAGGGATTTGTGTGTATTGTTTTTCCGTATGTCTACTTTTAAATGACAAAAACTCTTCTGAAGGACGCCTAATTTTATGCAACTAAAATACAAACAAATGAATATCTGGCTGTCATTAATTGCTTTGGCTTCTGTATTATTATTTTCGTTCGTGTGAAATGTATTCAACTGAAGAAAAAGTTGATATAGTCAATTGGTATACCGTTTAAGGAGCGTAAGAGACGGATTTCTCTGTTGATCACTTTAAAATCGGTTTTGTTTAAATGCGAGGCACATGAGACAGTAGAGACATCGTAAAAAGCCGGTAGTTTTAACGGAAGATATAAAACTGAACATTTTAATTTTTGTGAAAGAGAATCCCATAAGAAACTTAAGGGAAATAACGACCGAATTTAATATCTCTTCATCATAACCTAAAAGCAAAATGCGTACGCATGCTATTTTAGTTAGGCGTCTTTCAGAAGCGTTTTTGCCATTTAAAAGTAGACATAGGAAATCGCTATCTCTACTTATAAAGGAATAACACTGAATATTGTTCCAGACGCGTCAACAATTGATCAACGAGTAGAAACAAGTAGTGTGCCGAAGCTTGGCATCTTTACAAATTCACTCTGTTCTTAAACCATGTGCGACATTAAAAGATGATAAGGGGCCAGATGGTGTTATTTCGATCCCTTGACACAAAGGGCGATCCCTTGCTCCTAGTTATTTGAATTCTACCAGTGGATCATGCAGTGCTGCGATTGCTGAGGTAATGGTGTAATGCGACAGCGATATTGGGAATCATTCCACGTTTTATTTTCTGATTTCACGTTTTCTGTTGATTGTTGCTTATTGTTCAAATAAATGTACCAGTTAATGAAGTGTAAGGGATCTACTGCCCTAAAAAGTTGATTTTTGTAAACATTTAAAGACCTTCAATGTATCTAAATTTTCCCGAAGCTCAATAACGCTTGTCTACCCAATGATATATTATTTACTGAACACGTGAACTTTGAAAACTCCTTAATTATACTTTAATCACTACGTTTGGCGGTTTGGGCCTAGACATTTAGAAAGTTGAAACTTTCCATAAAGTTTTAATCACCTCATAGTATTTTGTTGTTTATCGGTTGTTGCTATATGGAGCACGTAATGGAAACTTAATAAAGATATATTGTGCCGAAGTTTTTCATAAATAAGTAACTTAGCGTAGACGAACGGAAATTTTTATTTACTTGCACAGATTAGGATACTACTCTCACAATAAAAATGTGAAGATTCCAACAAGCTTGCGGAGCAGCGGTTTTCGACGACTATAACATAATCCCTTTTTATATCGCCATTACACGAATAACGCGCCTACTTTAATATCGTATGTGATGTAGGGAAATGTATAAAAATATTATACAGTGGCTTTTGTATTTTTGTATTCACTTCAAATAAAGCTTTTACCTTCCTATAAATTCCTTTTGTTATCGCATTTGACTTTTTGTGCTCGTGGATGTGTATTCCTTTCAATCTCTCTGGGAATACTAACGTATCGCATTCGTGGCTTGTTGACATATATAAAAAACTTTTCGGTCGTTAAAAGGAAAATTCCTGTTCGAGGGCTCAAAATGTAGTTTAATCGATATAGTCGCTATGGTTTAATAACATTTCAATGGATCGATGCGTTATGCGACAGTAGGCACATATGATTAAAGTTGCATTGAAAAGGGCATATCCAATTTTCCCCCCATGTGAAACACCAGCAAAAACGAAGCAAAAGGGAAATGTAGTAATAGTAAACCGAATGGGCGCCACTTAGTTTTTAATAAATTTCAAAAGAGTAGAGAGAGAATACTTACCGAAAGGGCAAACAAGGCAGACTAAGAGATCCCTGTTCTGGTCAATCGAGGGCTTAATCTGTAATATCTAAATCTGAAATGTCAACATTTAAATGTAAATCAATTGTTAGGAAAAAGGGGGATCAACTCGTAGTGAGGGTTAATATCCAAGCAGGCTTCCGCAGAAAACAATGGCGCTATAATTTTATTGTTTTATTATGTAAGCAACGTTATATCAAAGAGTCGTTGGAAAAAGTACCTTTGAACGGCCTTTTGAGCTCAGAAGGGTGCTTTTCTGCCTTATCTGTAACAGATAGAAATATGAACAAAAAACAAGAGGGATAGTGGATAGCGCGACACATAAATATTGTGATAGCGATCTCAAACGTCTGACACGGGTAAATAATTCAAATGACTACACTACGGACGACCACGGATTAACGATAATGTCATTAATTACTTACAAATAGAGCACAGCCACAGTACATCAAAAATAGAAAGAGAGCATTCCAAAGAAATATGGGGATAGCCAAAACAATAAGCTTTTATTCAGATCAAGTAAAAAGTAATGGCACGCCAGATCGTCTCTGGGCAAAAAAAATACAACTGTACGCAAGATCAAATTAAAGAAGAAGGGATAGTTAGAAGTATACCGCATGGCCCCTAGCGGCAAACTAAAGAAGTAAGGTAATAACATCTACTACAGAAATAATTTGCATCTTACCTGAAATACCTAGATAGCGTAAGAATATTGAATATATGCATAAGCAGATACAATGAATCTTCTTCTAATTCCAGAAAGAAAGTTTCAACGATTTTCGCTTAAACCTTCATTCACACTTTACAATAAATCAGGCAATAAATAAATACAGAATCAGGAGGAGGAGGAGGAGCATACGGCGGAGAAGTATATAGCAAGTTCTATTGAAAAATAAAAGAAAACTTAGTTCATTTATTTTGACGCTCACTTAGAGCAAATCGAAAAAAATATCAAAACTTGTGGAGATGCCGGGGATCGAACCCGGGGCCTTTCACATGCAAAGCGAACGCTCTACCACTGAGCTACATCCCCTGTGCCCTTAAACAAAATGGCGCCTGCTTCCATAGATCACACTATTTTGATTTTTTCATTTCTTTACCTTTCCCAGTGGGATACATGTGTAGGTTTCTAAGGAGTAGGACCTTCGAAAGCCTCCTGTTGCGCTGTTTGCAAAATTCCAAATCTGACTTGACAATGTCCATTTCCTGACAAAGATGTTTGGGTACAGTTTTGTAAAATCAAGAGAGATCCTAAAATATGTCACCTTCAAAAAGTGTTGAATTCTTTATCCTCTAGAAAATCGTTTGTAATAAATATAATGATGCATTACTTATGTAATACCGGTCGTAATTAGCATTCAAGTTGTTAACTTTCACCCATTGGCGATGTTTACGTTTCGATGAATGAAGTAGGTTACTCCAGTTTAAATAAACCACATTCCTATCACGTAACACCAATAATAATAAAATACGCGTTGACATTGATCGGACCACTATAATTGCGCACGATATCTAGAAGCAGTCTTGGGTGACATTATCTTATCTCAGGGTATTATAGTTGCCAACCTACTGAACCGACTTTAAATTAATTCAAAAAATTTGGAGATGCCGGGGATCGAACCCGGGGCCTTTCACATGCAAAGCGAACGCTCTACCACTGAGCTACATCCCCTTGCAACATCCAGTTGTGAACTATATCGACGCCAGTTATTTGATACGCTGACAGAGTTCCACCAGTTTATTAACTTCTATGTTTGCTGGTGGACAAGGCAGGTACGCGAATCCGAGCACAAGCCCCCTCTCGCTCCCATACTTTTCCACTCTCAGCACCATTACTGCCACCAGAGCAATAGAATTGCCATGGTGGTAGTAACTTAACGCTATTCCTAGCTAAGATGCGCTCATATTAGTCCCAGATCTCGTGTTAACCCTTCGTAGGTCCGAGGTTCTTTTACCAGGGCTACCTCAATCCAATGTATGCTCATGTATTAACAGAGGGTGGTAGATGCCACCCTACTGTGATGCAGATTAGTTCTGTGCTACTTTTACCATTAATAAAATAGTGCGGTGGTTGCCAAAGTTGGTTGTGGTTTTCTTAAAGGCCCCGCAACTGTTTTGTTTTGGTGGGGCCAAGTTAACGGACCCAGTTTCTGACCAATAGAATAATTTTAAAGACATCTAAGAGTTCTCCATAACTGTAACGTCCTGCTGCAGGCTCGCCAGGCTACTAAAAGGCGTCCTTGTGGAGAAAACCTCATTTGAGAGGAGTTTTTAAAACCCTTAAGCACCAATAAAGCATCAATAGTTTATGAAGATCTTCTCCATAACCCCTACAATTAACAGTCTGGGCAAAAAAGATTTTGATGTGATACTTACATTTTTAGTTTTTTTTAGTCCATAACCTTTGATTGAGGAGTCTAATCGAAAAAGTACGATTTGATTTGGATTCTACGCACCAAAATTAATAAGAAAAAGTGTTTTCCCGAGAAATTTTGGTGTAGTCGATTGTTGGTAAAAAAGGAAGGTTATTACTGCCTTTTTTTGAGGCCCCAAAGAAAAATTGTCTCAGATCGACCGGAAAAAAACATTTTCTTATAGAATATGGCCTGTAGATTCCATAATTTCAAACAGTTCCAAGATTGGGCTACTAGATCAAAAGTTACAGCCCTTTGAATTTTTTTTCGAAATTGGTTTTTAGTCCATAACTTCTGATTGCGAAGTCTAATCGAAAAAATACGAATCGTTTTGGATTCTACGCACCAAAATTAATAAGAAAAAGTGTTTTCCCGAGAAATTTTGGTAGTAGTCGATTGTTGGTAAAAAAGGAAGGTTATTACTGCCTTTTTTTGAGGCCCCAAAGAAAAATTGTCTCAGATCGACCGGAAAAAAACATTTTCTTATAGAATATGGCCTGTAGATTCTATAATTTCAAACAGTTCCAAGATTGGGCTACTAGATCAAAAGTTACAGCCTTTTGAATTTTTTTTTCGAAATTGGTTTTTAGTCCATAACTTCTGATTGCGAAGTCTAATCGAAAAAGTACGAATCGTTTTGGATTCTACGCACCAGAAATTACGAGGAAAAAACATTTTCTTATAGAATATGGCCTGTAGATTCTATAATTTCAAACAGTTCCAAGATTGGGCTACTAGATCAAAAGTTACAGCCTTTTGAATTTTTTTTTCGAAATTGGTTTTTAGTCCATAACTTCTGATTGCGAAGTCTAATCGAAAAAGTACGAATCGTTTTGGATTCTACGCACCAAAATTAATAAGAAAAAGTGTTTTCCCGAGAAATTTTGGTGTAGTCGATTGTTGGTAAAAAAGGAAGGTTATTACTGCCTTTTTTTGAGGTCCCAAAGAAAAATTTTCTCAGATCGACCGGAAAAAAAACATTTTCTTATAGAATATGGCCTGTAGATTCCATAATTTCAAACAGTTCCAAGATTGGGCTACTAAATCAAAAGTTACAGCCAGGAGTACAACTGACAAGGATGGATTCATGAAATTTTACTTGATAATCTTTGGTGGAAGCGGAGGAGTTTCTTTGAATACTAAAATGACATTGAACTTTATCCCTTTGCCCCCTCGAAAGGCCTATGAGGAGAAAGTCCAACCTCTGGGGTGAGTGTACCTCTATAATTGATAAATTAATCGATGTAATACGGTCAGTACGTTTGTCTTGAGCTTCCGTAACCTTTTGTTCGGCACGAAAATCGTAGACATTATTTAAAACAGTCCGTACTTTTTCACCGGGTGTATTTTCCAGTAAAAGAGAACCATGGCCGGACTGACCCGGGCAGTGAATGCGAAAACCTGGAAAATGAAATGCATCGTTCGCATTTACAAATGCGAAACTTACTCCATCTCTTTTTCTCCCCATAGAAAACAATTAGCGTCTTATTTTCACCACCAATAGCTTCGTCCAAAGCACAGCCGGTATTTAAATTTTTGAAGTTTTGAGTTTTGACGTACTGTTCCGCCCCGTTGACTCCACCGAGTTCCTCATCTACGGCAGATTGTGTCAGCTAGCCGTGGACAAAGAAGTGCGCCCACCTGGCATAAAGGTAACATGAACAGTCCTTCGGGGTTCAACTCCGTCCAATTTCAGTCTCCTGATCGCCTCCAAGTACTGTATCCCGGTACACTTGCAATCTTGAGCGCCTCGCGCGTAGATATTCCCTTCGCTGTCAATTTCCGCACCAAACGGCTTATGCGCCCACTGTTCCTAAATTGAAACGTTACACGTTGCGTGTCAGTCAAAATCTCACCTCAAAAACCGGCACGACGTCCATGTGACTGTTAAGTACGATCGATGGAAGATCGCTCTCCTTGCCCATCCACGTCAGGACCACCATTGGATTTTTGGGCACGTCTCGAAAGACCGACACCTTCAAACCGATCTCCTTCGCTTGCTTCTCCAAAAATGTAACGCACGGCTCTGCTCAACGGTTATCAGGGGCCAAAGCAAATCTCCAACTTACCATAGTCAATGTCGAGATGGACGGACGGTATCCGCAGGTACTCTCGAAAGTTCTCCACGGCAATGGCGTCTAATTTCTTTGAAGATGTCGTCATTTTTTTCTTCGAAGCAATGACCATTATCTGGTTTGCGTTTTTAATTTATGCGCGATGCTTGTTATCGCCTAGACAAGGTTGTAGACGTGGTCTGCGGTTAGTTGAAGTAAACCAAATGCAACTGACAAAATGATAATTTCGATAACAGCGATGGACAAATATGAGAATAGAATTTTAGCTCTACTTTGAATATCCAGCTTCTAGTAGACAGATATTGGGGGTTATATATTTGTTAGGACAAAATCTACCAGAATTCGTCTTTCTGAGATCGAGATGCAACCGATTTTGAGGGTGTATGCTGCTTATAAGGTACATATGTCTGATTTTGACAGTGTCTAAGATGAAATTGCGTAGTGAAGTTAAAAAATTTAAAATTTCTAAGAGTAGAACAATATTAGACATTGTAAATCATAGAAATTCTATAGGGCGTCTAAATTTAGAGGGCCGATTCCCCAATAAATGATTTGATTAGTAGAATGGTATTCGTAAGCCGTGGTGGAATTTATGCCCGTCTTGTCTGCGTCGTTTGATTTTTGTAGAGCATCGTTTTATTAATAATTTAAGAAATCTGGGCGACTAGACGTCGGGAAAGATCATATTCAGTCCTCTTTATTAGGGTTACAACTTCTAATTCGACAACGTGGAAACATCTAGCATATTAGAAAAAAATGGGATTTGATCAATAGAGTAATAACTCTAGCTCTTGTTTGATTCATAGGGAGTAATTAATAATTAAAGATGACCGTTGAAATTAACAATTCGCCCTTTTGATTATTTTTTTTGGATCGTCGAGTTTCAGCGTAGACACTCCTAAGTGAACTAATCGTACGCTTTTTGAAAATTCACATAGGTAAAAAAAATTATCGAAACGCTCGTAAGGAGTAGTAGGGCTAAAGGTAAAAACCGTTACCAATTTTCCAAAAGACTCAAAAGGTATGGAAATTTGTTTGAAAACTCTTAATCTTAGTCTTTAAACGCCTTCAAGGGTCCGAAGTTTTTAAGGTGATTGTTGGAAACCTTAGATACGGCTAAATGTTCTTAAATTTATGGATAAAAAAGAGCAGAAAGTTAAATTCGTACATTGGAGAAAGAAACAAATAGGTTTAAACCTTTAGGCAGTGAGAGCAGTAAGATTGAAAAACCGAATCTCTATACTATTGTGTGGGTGGATTCTTGACTTAGGAAAGGACAACAATTCGAAATTTAGGACGGGGAAATGTAAATTGTAAGATATCGAGCGAAAGAGAACAAGACAATTGAAAAATGTTAATTCATCTCAGAATTCTGTACGAAATGAGAATAAACACGAAATTAAGATGCAAATTTAAAGTCGAAGACGAATCCTGTCCTACGCGTCGAAATTTAATTTGTAGAGAATTAGAATTAAGAACGAATTAAAACGAGAAAAGCAATTTTTTTGCCGGAGATTAATAAGCCAGGGGCGCGCCCCAAATACTAATTAAATGCGAGAGGGAAGTGCGTAAGTCACGGGGCCATTCTCCTCGTTATCGGACGAAATCTACATACAATTAGGCGTAAACAAAAGGAACTTTGTGTAGCGATATGTTCCTTTCGAAATGGGTACGTGCCAACGAAAGGACCGCACGACAATATAACAAACTTCCTTAAGATATCTTTAGTTCCGGGTTTTCCGGTCCCGACGCAAATCCGTAGCGTGATAGCATCAACCGCTGCACTGAAGAGGCGTCGTTGATGTCATCACATTCTAGTTAGTCCCTGCGTTGATAGGACTAACCAAACGTCGTTAGACTTCATATCGTTTTAACCAAACGGACTCTAATGCCCTGCGCCGAACCCGATAAGGACAAATATCGATTGTTATAATACTTATCTAGCAACTAACGTCTTTCGGATATGATTAACTTTTCATTTTATCAGCCTTTGCCTCCAACAAAGTCGTTGCTTACAATTTATTTTCTTTACGTCGAAAACTTTCGCGCTAATCTTTATTTTAAGGCACGAAAGGGAGCAGGTGTTAATCTTTACTTTATAGAACTTCCATTTTATAGCGTCATTTTTACACAATTCCTCCCAGCGTATATTTTAATTTTCTCCAGTAAACGTTGTGTTTGTGAAGTTTCACGCTTTATTTATAATGTCTTGTTGGAAAATGACGAGATAAGGTAAAAATAATGTTACGAGTTTGTAGCTCTCACGTTATTCTCCAACTGCACATGGGGACGTTTTCGGAAAATTTACGTTATACCTTGTTTACACGAATCTTAAGTAAACCAAGATATTAGGAGGTATCTTACAACAATGGTATTAGCGACAAGCTAAGCTTTTCCCTTTTGTGTACCATTAAATTTACTAGTTGACTATAATCATCGCCATTTTGTCTGATTTCAAAAGGATGAGGTCCTTGGGCTTTGAATATAAAATTTAACATGTATCCTCTTATTTAGGACGTAATTTTGGGTTCGATTAATCACAAAAAGCCGTTACCAGACCAATCCTTGGCCAAAAGGCGTCGTTTACCATCCAGTTCGCTTATTTGAAACCTCTTCCCTCTCCTCAGTTCCGTTCTTCCCCTCTTAACGAAATAGTTAACGTTTTCGAATTTGGACCTGTGTTCAATACGGCGATAATACGTCCTTATCTTGAAATTTAATTAACGTGCGCAGCGATAAAAATCTTATCTGCGACCGGAGAAAAACACGAGATAAACATTTACAAATACCACGCAAATAATTTCCAGATGTTTAAATCCGGTCTTTTTAATACGTAATAAAGCTGAGCAAGCAAACAAAACAAACAAGGCAATTATTTAAACAAAATTAACGACTAATAACTCTGATACAAGACAAAATCGACTTTGAAATCAAATGGCATCGTTATTGCGTTCAATCCCTACTCATGACCACTTCTAGCGTTAATAAGAAAGTGAAATCAAACAATGGGAAAGTTACCAATTTTCAGAAAGATAGGCTTTATATGTTATGAGAATTTTTTTGGGATTTTCTCAGACTATACACAAAAAAGGAAGATGCAAATGTTGACAGAAATAACCAAGAAATTGGGATTGTTTAAATTTAAAAGAAAAACTATTTTTAAAGGGCCATAATTGAGTTGTTGCCTCATACTCATTTTGAAGGCATTTTCATTGGCGACTTATTTAGAAGTTTTTAATGTGGAATATGATGACGTATTGGTGATTTTAATTTAGAGACCTTGTGAATTTGTTGAATTTTAAGTGAACACTAAAATCAATAATTTTCACGGTTCATAGAAAGAATGGACCGCACTTTTAATTGTAATCGATACACTTTACCCCAAAAGTTTAACACTAAAATCAATAATAAACTTTTGGGGTAAAGTGTATCGATTACAATTAAAAGTGCGGTCCATTCTTTCTATGAACCGTGAAAATGTGAAACTGAATCGTGTTTATTAGAAGTTCCAACATCGACGCCGAATTGATGTAGTGATTTTGTAATCCTGTATCAAAAATCTACATGTTATACATTTCAACAAGTGAATGATAAATCATAATTATTTGATATAAATCAACTGTTATATATTCATTAGCACAACAGTAATTGAAAGCATTGGAGATAAAAATCCTACACAGAAAAATAGAAAGAAAGCAATTAAAATAGAATAAGTTAAATCAACATAAAATAAAAGGGCATAACACTCAGAGCTATATGCATTATTGAAGACCGTCACCCCTACACTAAAACAAGACAAACACCAGCGTTAACCGGAAAAATTGGAAGAGATGGATACCCGAAGCCGCCGTGAGACATGAGAGATTATAAGAACACCATGAACCAATATCTTTCGCCGAGAAAACTGTAATTCTTTCAGCGGTATTTAGTTACGTGCAATAGGATCAAGAAAAGACCACAGAGGCCCACGAACCTTATTTAGATTTTCGAAAATGCCGTAAAATTTGCATGCCTCCCCGAATTCCATTACCATCGAGCTTAAGTAGTTAATAACGTCGGTTACTGACAGAAATTTTAGCACAAAACAAGTACTCGCACTTCTGCATAATTTACGATAGTGATCGTTTGCGTAGTTACACTAAATAATTCAATTTAGGTGTTGAGCAGGCAGGATGTTTGCTTAAAAGCGTTCCCGTAAGAAATTTATATGCGAAAAAAGATAAGAGAGATGATGGGAGAGGGTTTATTAACTTTTAGATGAGTTACGAGAATGGAGACAGAATCGATATCACCGTATCGAATTACAGTTATCAGGATGTCCGACCGAATATTTTTATCGAAAAGGGCAATTGTTATAAAAGCCATCGCGAATTCGAGCCCCCCTTCCTCCCAGTTTCCTGACAATATTGTGAAAAGTAAATGCCTCCAATGCCTCTAACCTTAACCTTTATAAGTCAACATTCCAATTCAGTTATTTCATATTGCGTTGATATGAGACCATATAAAATTCAATTTCTGTATGTCAATATTTCGCGAAGTGGAGGAAGACGCTTCCTCATTCTTTGTTTTCGGGTTTCGCTGATCTTGTATTGGGACTCATCCGTCTATGTATCGGCTTATCTTCCCTGCAATATATACCTCTATAGCTATGTCGGAAATTACCTGTTATTTATTTTAAACCGGGTGATTTAGTCCTCGCCCCTTGGACGTAAAACTTGCTGGAGAACAAATTTAACTTCATCGGCTTGTCGTTTGATGTTTGTTTAAAGCAGAAAATAATTTATTCCGAGTTTTGATTAAAGTTAGATCGAAAAATATAAATACGTTGCTTCATTGAAAATCAATGCAGAGCTTTTCCCGTGATCCGATGCGACCCCCTGCAGGAGTCTGCAAAGTTTACCTTCTATTAAAGGATTAGCTTAGTTCAAGGGAGTTGCCAAGGTTTTATGAAACGTGGCCTTCCATTTAGCGTTCTGTGAATGATTTTGCACATTTCGTATCAGTAGCTATTTCCAGTAAAAAGACTGACAAAGGGACAGACTATTTTCAAGAACAATGTTTCATATCAATAGTAAGGTCTAATAGCCC